TTTTTTGTATTTTTTAGTAGAGACGGGGTTTCCCCATGTGAGCCAGGATGGTCTCGAACTCCTGACCTCGTGATCCGCCCGTCTCGGCCTCCCAAAGTGCTGGGATTACAGGCTTGAGCCACCGCGCCCGGCGGATTCTGGCGATGATTAAATGAATTTACACCTGAAAAGTCCATAGACCAGTATCTGGCATATAAAAGTATATAAATATGTTTGTTTTTTTGAGACAGAGCCTCGCTCTGTTGCCTAGGCTGGTGTGCAGTGACTTGATCTCGGTTCACTGCAACCTCTGCCTCCCAGGTTCAAGCGATTCTCCTGCCTCAGCCTCCCCAGTAGCTGGGATTACAGGCGCCTGCCACCATGCCTAGCTAATTTTTCTATTTTTAGTAGAGATGGGGTTTCACCATGTTGGTCAGACTGGTCTCGAGCTCCTGACCTCAAGTGATCCGCCCGTCTCGGCCTCCCAAAGTGCTGGGATTGCAAGCGTGAGCCACCGCGCCCAGCTTAAATGTTTACTATTATCATAACTGGACTCAGTTATGTTAATGTTTGGGCAAATCCCTGCACCTATCTTAGTCTCCTCCCCCATCTGAAATTGGATATAATAAAGCTGACTTTACAGGGCGGCTGTGAAAGAAGATGCCTGAAAGGGATCTGAAAAATGTTAAGTATTGCACGAATGAATGGTATTATAGTCCCTTCCCCCCAGCCTATAATAAAAACGTAAAAGCTGACATCAGATTTTTCTGTATTACAGACATTGTACTTAGTACTTTACAGGCACATTCCTGCAATCGTCAAAACAACTTTAGGTTGGGCATTGTTATTATCCCCACTTTGCAGACAAAAAACGATGTCATGCTTGAGCCCAGGAGGTCGAGGCTGCAGTGAGCCATGTTCGCGGCACTGTACTCCAGCCTGGGCGAGAGAGTGAGACGCTGTCTCAAAAATAAAAAGAAAAACAAACAAACAAAAAAGGATCTCAGAGAGATGAAGCCTGTGATTTGCTCAAAGTCACACAGTGATGTAAGCAGTATAGCAAATAATATAAGATTCCAAAGCCCAAGTTAGTAAAAAGAGGACTATAGACGTGGTGGAACCTGTTGGCTGAGGGGCAAATGACTGACCTGTAACTGTCAGAGATTTATGGAGGGAAATGAGTGGCCAACAAAAATCCTCGTTTAGTGGGAGAGAGGTTGTTGGGTAATGACTGACTTGTAGCTGGAAGAAATCATCGGATTTTTATTCTTTTATTAAAGAAAAAAATTTTGAAATGCCTTCCATGTGCCAAGCACTGTGTAAAGTGGGAGACAACTACTCGGTGCAACCTCTGTCGGGCTGCTTTCCTCCGCTTTCCCTACCCCTAGGTTTCCCCCTGCCCAAACAGGATTTTGTGCTTCGTGGCTTGTCCAGGCAAGCAGGCCGTCGCGGGACCTAGACCTAGACAGTAAGTCTCCCTCTCTTCCGGGCCTCCCTTCTCTTTCCTGCGCTGCAGGGGAGCAGGAAATCTGGGGCGAGATTCCCGCCGCGGACGCGCACTGCCGAAGCCAGGTCCCTCGACCTGTCGCTGCCCAGCGCGGGGGCGCAACCGCCACGCCTCCTCACCCCTCCCTCCGGCCTCACGAATAATGACGGCCGCCGCCCCTCCCACCCTTGGCGTCAGGTTCAAAACAATCCTTTGACTACAACTCCCAGAAGGCCGAGCGGCTTAGCGAGTGCACCCGCACTCGGCTGTTCCGGCAAACTACACGTCGCAAAGGGCAGCGTG